CCCCCCCCCGCCCCCCACCCCCACCCCCTCTTTCCCCCTCAACAGCTCCCTCTTTGTCTGCGCGGAGGTTGGTAGCTTACTTTTTCGGTCGTGTGTTATGTCGATAGGAAGACTCTGGGGGGAATGTGTGCAGAGGTGTAGAGCAGAGTCCACACGCACAGCGAAAACGGGGAACAATTGAAGAGGCGGAGGAAGACTTTGTAGAACGCGGACTTAGCGAGAGAGGAGGGGGCGCCGAAGAGGGGAAGGAGGAGGAGATTGAATGGATCTGAATTGAATTGAAGGAGGAAGAAAGCGAAAATTGTTAGCAGAACACAGGGTGGGATGTGCGCGACGGTACCCTAGATATGTGGTCTTGCAAGTCAGAGAAGTTGTGAGCGAGACGGTGGTAAGCGAAGGAAGCACAGGAGAGTCGGCTGGGGGTGTTTCTGCGTGTGGTCCTGGAGGCGCCAGGAGATATAAAGAGACTGAAACTTTCCCCTCTTGGACGTTCTTTTTCTTCCCTCGCCAGTGTTGATATGCGGCTGCTGCCGAAGGTTGGCTGCGTTGTGAGGGCCGGATGCGCCGAGCAAGGCCACACTCCTGTCCATCAGCTTTCGTGCTACTACGGTAGCAGGTACAACGGACAATGATAGCATGGAACGTCCGTCCCAAAGCGAACTGAGTGCCACAAATGTTTTTCTCTCAGTTCGAGCAGTTTTTGACGCAACTAAACCTTTGCTGATTCGTGCTCTCTGTTCGCGCTGTACACATCAGTTGCGATCAGTATTGTGGACGCTTCGGATACACACGCGGCCCGTCCCTCCCAACACGCTCCAACGAGATCGATACAAGCCGACAAAACACGACGCGGCTGGGTCTGGCTCGCATGTATGAATGTCTCGACAACATCAACGACAGCACAGAAGGACAAGCGGCGCCACGACGAATGACAACACGCCTGCGTGCATCAAGGAAACCCTCTGTTGCAATACACCACAGCAGCAGCAGCAGCAGCAGGGAGTAAGCAACCCCGATTTCCTCGTCCGTCTGCCGTCAATCAGCGCTTCTTCTTGTCGTTGCCGTGGGGCGTTTCGGCGTCGCTGTCTCGTCCCCAGCCGACGCCCCGACCCCAGTCTCGCTCCCGCCGCCCCCGCTTTCCGACCACAACCCACCAACAACACCGCTACTGCTACCACCACCACCGACGTATCTAGCGACACCTTCCGCACAAAAACCGTGGTCCCCCCCCGCCCCCCTCCCGCTACCCGCGGCGCTCCGGCCCCCGCGGCGGGATCGGTGGAACTCTCGATGCTGCTTCCAGACGCTTTGCTGGTGCTGCCAACGTGCCTGCTGTTGCGGCGTTCTTTGCCGCTCTGGTCGTGGCTGCTGCTGCTGCTGCTGCTTCTGCCGATTTTGTGCCCGCTGTTCCTTCCAAGTCTGCTGCCGCGGTGCGTTCTCTCGAGGTGACCTGTCTTGCTGCTGCTGGGAATACGGAGACCTACCACAACTATTGTCTCCATTGCTGCTGCCCTGAGAAAGGATCTGCGGGTTCGGACTGCGGCGATGATTGTGCTGCTGCTGCTGCTGCTCGCCTTGTTTTTGTTTCTTGCGCTGGGCCAGCCTCTCCAGCGCCATCGCCTTGTTGCGAGCGATGCGTTCCTGTGTGCCACGTACGACAACAGCCGACCGCAAATAACGTTAATCGAATCGGCATATGGATACTTGGTTAGCTCACGTTCCACAACCCCTAAGCAGCGCGTGCACGTTCCAGCTAACCCCTTCCCACACAACGCTCCGTCCCATCAAAGAAGCGTGGGCATGGTCCCACAAGTACGGCAACCAAAACACCCACCCACCCCCGCACCTTATCGCCACGATGCCGACTGGTAATATCTAGTGCGAAGCCACCAGTCTGTTTACCTGAACTTGAGCCGAGAGGACAGTCGTTGCCTTCGCTGCCCCATCGCCGCCTACCGCCGTCGCCTGCCTTCCTTCTCTCTGGGATCCCGCCGACAGAGGCTGGCTGCCGCTTTGGTGGGAGGTTCCCGCACCGCCACCGCCAGCCGTCGTTTTTACCGCGGAGGCATTCGCCTCGGCGCCGGAAGACAACGGCATTGCCGCCGCTGCTGCTGTTGATGGTGATGGTGGTGGTATCGATGACGTATGCGACGGTTGTGTTCGTGGTGAAGCTTGCTGGGGAAGTGACGGACCAGAAGAAGCGGTAGCCGGGGCCGGGCCGGCAGCCTTCGCAGCGGGAAGACAGGGACTCACACCGCCGCCTCCAACACCGCCGCCGCCGCCGTCAAGACCATGCGGAGAAGAAGGCCTACCTCCTCTCGTGGGACACCCGCTAAGATCCACGCAATCCACGCCTTGCTGCAGTCTGCTGGGTGATAACGACGACGACGCCCCATTCACTTCTGACGGTGGCGGTGGCGATGAAGCGGTTGTTGGATCAGCTTCCGCCGCCGCCGCCGCCGCCGCCGTTGCTGAACGCTGCTGCTCACTCGGTGCCGCTGGTGCAAACTCGAGCTTGCGCTGTGACCGCTCGCGGCGGTACAGCATGGACACGGGCATCGCCTGGGTGTAACAGTGTCATGAGATAGCGGGAAAAGAGTCCCCACGGAAACAGGAGGGGGTAGGACATGGGGGGGAAACATCGGAGTGAGCCCAAAAGGAGGCCGCGACAGTTGCACGGATGGTGCCGTAATGGCTGGTATTCCGAGGATGCACCAAGAAGGATAGCGACACCTGCCCACCAGAGAGGTCGAAATGGACGGAAAGAGTCAGCGGTGTTTCACTTTTAGCTGACGTAGAATTTCATTCTTCACTTTGGGTTCAGAGTGCACCCCCTCTTGGCCCTCCGGGGGTGCCTAGATGTAAAAGAGATGCTTTTTCGTGCACCCTCTGGTATTTGGGTGTCGGGTGCCCGGAAAAAAAGGCACGATAGTGTCCACAAGCTGTCCTGTCTCGGGAGAGGAGGGAATCGAGCAACATTCTCGAGACGTCGCGTGCGTGTGGTGCGCGCAGGGCGCGCGTACAATAACACAATAGTCAGTCACGCCGAAAGATAGCCGGTTTGTGGCCAATACACTTGTCCTCAATATGGATTTCCAAGCCATCAAAACACTGAGCTTCGAGCTCCCCCTCCCCCTGCATTTTTGAACAACCGTAAATTTCTGCGCTCTGGGGGGCTGTGTGACCACGGATTGGATCTCGTGTCCGGCAGAAATGCTGCGCGCGCAAATTTTAAAGCGACGGAAGAACAAAAAAAAGCGGCAGGCCAAGCCCAACCAACACCCGGAACATTTGGCTTGACTTTTCACGCGCTGCTGTACGGCCAGGCCATGCCCCAAGCCCCAGATTACTCGCATGACGGCATGATGTTGCTAGCTTCCCTGCCTCCGAACGGAATCACTGGTTCCACTTTTTTTTTTTCCAGCTGGAAAAAAAAAAAGAAAGAATGAAACAGGCTGTACGGTGGTGTGTACTTGCAGCGTAAATCCATCTACTCCAAAGCTACGCCGTTAATACCGTCCAACAAGAAAACGCCTCGATGGTGACCATCTCAAACGCCGAAAGCCCTTCGTGCCACCCACCGGGGGAGGGACTGGGCTTGGGGTGTTCCCAGGACTCAAGAGGCGGTGCTCCCTGCCCGGCACGTTGCTGTAGCCCCCGGCGTCCCGGTTGAGCCCTGCGGTTTTTACCGGTTTCGCGCGGTAAACATGGTATCCATCGCACAAAAATGGAAACAAACGCACAGCAAATCATCACCGCCGTGGATCACGAAAGGGCGTACTCTTTATGTTTTCCATGCCTTTGTTGTTACACCATTCACCACGCGTCCTCGAGACGACGGAGTTGTTCCCACAGGACGACCGATCACCGATGGTTAATCGTTCCTTCCTACTCTGCCAAAGGTGGCTCAAAAGTATCGGGGCGGGGGGGGGGGGG